ATTGCGTCACCAACTGGTGGCTTGATGTAGAGCTTCAGTACTCTACACTAACATGACTGCTGTTTTAGCCCTACTGAGTGGGAATACATGTTATTGAATCTAAAACTAAAGTTGGTATTAAGCAACCTCCCCACTTAGTTGAATGCATATCTCTAATGTTGTTCAAAGCTGATTTTCATAAGCTAAAAGTGTATTTCTGCTAAAAAGATATAATGCAACCCATTTGGTCAGACTTCTTTGTGCTGACCATCTGTCTAGGTAAACTCTTTCTGGTAAATGAGGTTACAACCTGTGCACACCACTCAATCACATCTCCCAAGCCCAACTGACTACGTTATTAGTCCAGATACTGCCCTGTTTTATGTCTAAGGCGCTTTGTTATTTAATGTGACAACTTGTGTACTACGACCTGTCAACCCTCAGTGTAACATGACATCTTTTCAATTCTTTTCTTTTCCGTTCTGATACTTGTTTAACAATGCATTTGGGATCTGATATTTGGATAAAGTTGTCCTTTCTTGAGCTACGGTAGGTTTTCACAACTCACACGATACAAAGTAATGGGTGGAGAGCGGTAGGTCTTTACTATGTCTCTTGAACAGTAGTTTTTTTGGGTAGACAGTCTATCAAATTGATACAATTTAGTGGTATTTTGCTGAAGAAATGTTTTGTAGGTCATGGCATTATTGACCTATCATCCAGTGTATGCCAAAGGGAATCAAAATCCTGCGTTGGAATCCAAAGCCGGACAACTGTGTTTAAGGAAAATCCTTTTTATCCCTACCATGACAATGACTTTTTGTGAATTTAGTGAAAGGAAAGGTTTTAGAACACAATCATCTCTTACTTTACCTCAATACATGTGGTTAAACTGTCTCTATTTTAATGTGATGACGACAGACACTCATCTAACTTGAGGAGCATATTGCAAAGCTTCACGTCACATTGTTGATTAACAGACATGATGTGAAAACCCTACTAAAAAGGTCAGAAACATGTCCCTGATTGTCTAGTGGTCAGGATTCAGCGCTTTCACCGCTGCGGCCCGGGTTCGATTCCCGGTCAGGGAATTTATATTGCGTCACCAACTGGTGGCTTGATGTAGAGCTTCAGTACTCTACACTAACATGACTGCTGTTTTAGCCCTACTGAGTGGGAATACATGTTATTGAATCTAAAACTAAAGTTGGTATTAAGCAACCTCCCCACTTAGTTGAATGCATATCTCTAATGTTGTTCAAAGCTGATTTTCATAAGCTAAAAGTGTATTTCTGCTAAAAAGATATAATGCAACCCATTTGGTCAGACTTCTTTGTGCTGACCATCTGTCTAGGTAAACTCTTTCTGGTAAATTGGGGTTTCAACCCGTGACACCACTCAAATCACATTCCCAACCAACTGATATTATTAGTCCGTATTCCCTGTTTTTGTCTAAGGGGTTTGTTTTTTAAGGGGACAAATTTGAAACATTAATCGGTTAATAAATTTTTTATTCTTTTTTTTGCTAATTTTTTAAATTCATTTGGGTTGAAAGGTAAATTTCCTTTTTTGGGCTGGGGTTTTAAATTACCGATGCAAATTGGGGGGAGAGCAAAGGCTCTAGTCCTTTTAAAGTAGTTTTTTTGGGAGACTTCTACAAAAGTAAAAATTTAGTGGTTAGCAAGGGGGTTTTGGTTGGGATTATTTCCTATTCAGGAGCCAAAAGGGAAAAAAAATCCGCGTTGGTCCTTTTTCGGACAATGTTTCAAGGAAAACTTTTTTCCCTCCTGTGCTTTTGAATTTGTCAGGGGGTTTTTCACATCCTTTCTTTTCCCTCTGGGTTTTTGCCCATTTTGGCGCGCCCCCCCTCTTAGGGGAATAAAGTTAGTAATTGTTTTTTAAAAAATGAGGAAAACCCCTAAAAAGTTAAAAAAAGTCCCCTTGTTATTAGGGTTTAACGCTTTCATTCGGCCCCGGGTTCACCACATAAAATTTGGCACCCGTTGGCTTATTGAGCGTTCACCCCAACTGAGTGTTTTACCCACTGGTCGGGAATCTTTTAAAATTAATTTTAAAATAAAGTTAGATAACACCCCCTTGTTTTTTCCTTTAAGCAGTGTTTCAAAGCTAAAAGGTTTTCGCCTGTAAAGCACCCTTTTGCGCGTTTTTGTGCTACCATTGTTAGTAAACTTTTCCCGTTAAAAGGGGTTTTCCCTGTGACCCCACCCTCCTCTCCCAAGCCCCTGACAAAAGAAGTTGATATTGCCCTGTTTTATGTTAAGGCGGTTTGTTGTTTTTAAAGTGCAACTTGTGTACTACGACTGTCAGCCTCAGTTAAATGACATCTTTTCAATTTTTTTTCTTTTCCCTTTGTACGTTTTTCAAAGCATTTGGGATCTGATATTTGGATAAAGTTGTCCTTTTTTTGAGCTACGGTAGGTTTTCAAATACCGAGAAATTTAAAGGGTTTGGGAGCGGTGGGCTTTACTATGTTTTGAACAGTGTTTTTTTGGGTAGACGGGGTATCAAATTGATACAATTTAGTGGTATTTTGCTGAAGAAATGTTTTGTAGGTCATGGCATTATTGACCTATCATCCAGTGTATGCCAAAGTGAATCAAAATCCTGCGTTGGAATCCAAAGCCGGACAACTGTGTTTTTAGGAAAATCCATTTTATCCCTACCATGACAATGACTTTTTGTGGATTTAGTGAAAGGAAAGGTTTTGGAACACAATCATCTCTTACTTTACCTCAATACATGTGGTTAAACTGTCTCTATTTTAACGTGATGACGACAGACACTCATCTAACTTGAGGAGCATATTGCAAAGCTTTACATCACATTGTTGATTAACAGACATGGAGTGAAAACCCTACTAAAAAGGTTAGAAACATGTCCCTGATTGTCTAGTGGTCAGGATTCAGCGCTTTCACCGCTGTGGCCCGGGTTCGATTCCCGGTCAGGGAATTTATATTGCTTCACCAACTGGTGGCTTGATGTAGAGCTTCAGTACTCTACACTAACATGACTGCTGTTTCAGCCCTACTCAGTGGGAATGCATGTTAGTGAATCTTAAAACTTTAAGAAGCCACCTATGCCTCCTCACCTCTGCATTTGTGTCCTCAAAACCCTGATACTATGTATATAAATATAGAATAGAATGGTTCTCTAGGGCAGGCATCCCCAAACTCGGTCCTCAAGGTCCCCTGTCCTGCAGGTTTTAGAGGTTTCTCTGCTTCAGCACAGCTGGTTATAATGATTGCAGTAGACCAAAAGCCTGTTAATAAGCTTTCAATTAAAATCAGCTGTGCTGGAGCAAGGAAACCTCTAAAACCTGCAGGACAGGGGGCCTTGAGGACCGCGTTTGGGAATGCCCGCTCTAGAGTATTTGGTGCTGGTCCTTAAGGTCTCTGAATAGGGTGTGTAATATTGGTTGGGCTGAAAATGGCATATTTGCTGTTCTATGAGCCCTAATGAAAGCCTAGTTAAAAGCCCCAGAATGAAATGACGGGTTTTCTTCCTTTTATGCAGAGATGGGAAGTAACGAAGTACAAATACTTCGTTACTGTACTCAAGTAGATTTTTCTGATATTTTTACTTTACTTTACTACTTATTTTTATGGCGACTTTTTACTTCTCATCCTTACATTTTTACACAAATATCTGTACTTTCTACTCCTTACATTTTAAAAAATTGGCTCGTTACTTTAGTTTTGAATCATTTCAATGGAGTTACCGTTATTATTTTTCACGTCATCAATACCAAATTCAATCTAATTGGATGGGAATCTACGTTGCATTTGACGCACCACTACAAGATGAATCGACAGATTCGGCGGTATTCATTGGCGGCAAATCATTGCAGCTTGGTGGCGGTGGCGTTAGCATAGTCGCATGGACGACGAGATGATTGAAAATGAACACAACGGAGATCGAGTCCTATTGGCAGACATCCATTTAAAATGTAGGCAACGGCATGAAAAAAGTGGTTTCTACTTTTACTTTTATACTTTAAGTAAATTTACAAGCCTGTACTTTGTTACTTTTACTTGAGTAAAGAAGTTTAATCAGTACTTCCACTTTTACCAGAGTATTTTTTAACACAAGTATCTGTATTTTTACTCAAGTACATCTCTGCTTTTATGGTATGATCATGAATATTAAGATGACCTGTATGCTGATTGGTTGGTTTATAACGAGCTAAGCTGCTGAGCAAAGACTCATCTTAGCAACAAGCACTCACTCACTGAAACATCGAAATTGTTGATATGGTAGGGTGACCAGACGTCCTCTTTTTCCTGGACATGTCCTACTTTTCATACCTAAAAAAATGTCTGGGGCGAATTTCAAAATCATGTGGGATTTTGGTCCACTACAGTGCAGCAGAACCGAGCCATGAGCTTCAGGGTTGTGAATGGAGCGACTGAACCCAACCCAAATCCTGCTTTGAACTGTCCAAGATTTGGAAAACTGTCATCGGTAAAATGCTTAAAGCAAATGAACAGCTGAGCATCAAACTTTGCAGGGATCTTCTGATAGACAAACATATTCCATGCCTGTCGAGTGTTTGGATCCTTGGTAAGACTGAAAATGTCCCCCCTCCTCTGTGCAGCCTGGAACATTGCATTTACACCTGTGGTTCTGGCTCATTTTCAATAGAGAAACTGCCTGCTTTGTAAATCTTATAGAAGTAAACCCATCTGAAGGCTAAACAGCTAAACTGGTGTCTTACATCTACCTCTATTCAGGTGCTTGGGTCAGTGAACCAGTGGGCTGGTCTGAATGTCAATTTCAGGGCGTGACAAAAGTACAGGCCAGAACCAAATAAGGCAACATTTGGATTTGCCCGTTTTATGGTGGAAGTTTAAAATTGTGAGATTCGCAGAAAAAGGAAGTGTTGATGGGGTTTGAACTTCTTTGTACGTCCATTTCACCCACTGAACTATTGTTATTCATCTATCACAATGGAAACTCGGTTTTGCATTCTATGAGTCCTTTAAAAAATGCTTGACACCAACCTGTGTGCGTTTCCAAGTCCTCTGTAGGCTTTCTCCTGATCCTGGACATGGTTAAGACTCTGAGCCACGGTCAGGTATTTCTCGTAGTACTGGATGGCCTCCTCGTAGTCTCCCAGAGCGTCGTAGCAGTCCGCCAGGCTCCCGTAGGCCCTCCCTCTGTCCAGCATAGCCTCGCTTCCACTCAGCTGCTGCAGCATGGCCAGCTGCTGCTCAAAGTATCCAATAGCTTCCTCAAACACCGCCATGTTCATCTTGGTGATGCCCATGTTTCCGTGGACCTGGGCCTCCAGACGGGCGTCTCTGAGCCCCTGCGCCAGCCCCAGCTGGCTTTCGTAGCACTGGAAGGTTGTGGTGTAGTCCCCCTGTGCCATATGGACTGCTGCCAGGTGGCCCAGGGCCCGGCACTCCCCCTGGGGGTCGGCCAGGTCCTTACGGAGAGTCAGCTCCTGGCTGTGGAAGGACAAGGCGGCGTCCAGCTGGCGAAGAAGCCTTCATGATGGGTGATGAGAAGGAAGGAAAGAAGGAAGCATTAGAGGCACAACACAAACAGACAAGTAAAAAAAAACATGGTCTAAATGTACAAAACTAAACAGAAATAAATAAATAAAACACACATAAAAAAAAAAACTGAATCTGGTGCCAAAGTTAAGGGGTATAAATATAAACCAGAATCCTGTCAGAACAAGAATGAAATTGACTTCTTTTAAAGGGATAGTTCGGTATTTTTGACATGAATCTGTATGGCATCCCCATCACCAGTGTCATGCAATCACACTGACTTACCCCTGGCAGCATCCTGTGAGCAGAGTTCTCGTCCAGTTTTGGTCAAGCCGAAAGTAGTCCGGCAGGTTTTTGCATCCCAAAAACGTTGTAGTGGAAAAAGTCACACGTCGTTATCACTTGGTCCTATTTTCTCTCTGTTCGTATCAGTGCGCGCCGTCATTCAGACAGCGAGCTCAACAACAGCCAGATGCATGTCTCCCTCCGCCTAGCTCCTAGCTGGGCGGAGGGAGACATGCATCTGGCTGTTGTCAGGTTAGTAGGCCCTAGCTGTCTGAATGACGGCGCGCACTGATACGAACAGAGAGAAAATAGGACCAAGTGATAACGACGTGTGACTTTTTCCACTACAATGTTTTTGGGATGCAAAAATATCACTCTTTTGAACACATAATGTTTTGGGAAGAGAAACGTTTTATTTCGCTGGGTCTAGCAAACCTGCCGGACTACTTTCGGCTTGACCAAAGCTGGACGAGAACTCTGCTCACAGGATGCTGCCAGGGGTAAGTCAGTGTGATTGCATGACACTGGTGATCGGGATGCCATACAGATTCATGTCAAAAATACCGAACTATCCCTTTAAGAATTAAAGGGCCCCGAGGAGCTAAATCAGTGACGGCTTGCAATGACATCAAACAGCGGCGTAGGAAGCGGGGGGGACGGGGGGGACATGTCCCCCCCAATATAAAAGCCAGGTGGATATGTCCCCCCCAAAAATTGTACCGCAAAATATTAGATTTTGACAATTTTTTAACTATCGTGCTTTTATTTTGAAGGCGCAGCATAGCGTTACGTCACTGTACTCCCCCTCCCCTCTGTGAACTGTTGAGTGTTTGAGCACTCAGAGGGAAACAGCGATACAGAAAGTCAGAAACTTGTGAATGAGGTAAAATGGTCTGTCGGGAATGCTGCTATGAATATTGCTTATTTATAACGTCTTGTTGTCAGTTCACTTTCATATATAGAAACAATCTTTTTGGTTTAGGCATCTTAGTCTTGTAGGAAGAGGATTAGGGCCACTGAAAAACGTTAACTGATTTTTAATTTTTTTTAGTTTAACATGGGGGAAAAAGTCAGAATTCTGAGATTAAAGTCAGAATTCGGACTTTTTTCTCAGAAATCTGACAGATGATTAATGTTTCTAATCAATTTACAGTTTTTTTTGTTGGTGGTGGTGGGGGGGGGGGGGGGGGGGGGGGGTACTATACAGATATATAAAAACAAGAAGGTCTAACTAAAAAATAACCAGAATATATGTTTAGAGTAAAGATTGACTACTTGTGTTTACACAAGCACACAATTTCAAATCTGCTGAGCTTGCTGTGCAAGAAAATGTAAAATACACGTATAAAAAAATATAACAGGAAGTACTGCTAAAACAAACTAAATGTTAAATAATGTAGATATTGGTTTAAAAAATTCTTCAGATTTGGAAATTTGGAAGGAATACATAATTCTGAAATTAATCAACAAATCTGGTAAAAAAATAAATAAAAAATAAAAGTTGCACTTTTTTACTTGAGGAATTTGTTGAATAACTTCATAATTATGAGTTTAACTAGTTGGAGGTAATGCTACACTTCTCTGCTTCCTGTCCTGCTCATAAAAGGTAAACATTATAAACCCACCATTAATTTTCTACACTATTTGGAAAACACAACACAAATGTAATATAACAAAAGTATGTTTAACAACAAACATGTTAGCATCAAGCCATAGCCATGTCTCTTTTAGAGACTAGCTCTCTTGTTTTAATGACCTTCTGCTCCTCCATTAATGAGGGGACCCCTCGGGCACGTAAAAAGTTGCCTAATTCTGTCATTTTCCACCAATGTGTCACTGGCTCTCTCAAACAACTCACATCTTTGTCAGTGAAGCTGAGCGCTCCACATCTCTGCCTTCATGGTGCCCATCTACATTAAGATCCAAAATTCGGAGAAAAAAAGTCAGAATTCTGAGAAAAAAAAGTCTTAATTCTGAAAATAAAAGTCAGAATTCTGACTTTTTCCCGTATTAAACTGAAATAAAATTTAAAAATCACTTAACTTTTTTTTTTCAGTGGCCCTATCCTCTTCCGTAGTCTTGGGCTGATCACTCATCCAATATTTAACTGCTAACTTTCTGTAGACGTTTGCCACGCTAGCCAAAATGTTTTTTCTATATATTTTTTTTTATATCTCATTTCAGTACAATGCCACCACCAACTAAAAGGCTGAAACAGCAGTAGGACTTACTCAGATTTTTTTAAAAGAGAAACGTCAGTGTGAGTAACAGTCACCTAACAGTACTTGTGTTGAAATTAGCCCGGTCTGGGCGTGCGTTTTACGAGGATTTTTTATTTTTTGCATGGTTTTGATTCGCCGAAATGGACAGATGTTATACCTGCCGCGCTCCTGATTGTTAGTTAACCACAGGGAGAATTAATTCTAATTCTTAGCAGCAGGGGCGGCCGCATTGGTCGTGCAGCGGACTGCTGCACAACCACTAATTAACCAACTAATAAACTTCTGCATCTTTATTTCCTCAGATAAACTGCTGGCTCCTCTTTTTACACTATAAACAGATTAACACAACATTGACAACTCTGTAGTTTTCTCTGTTCTGTACTGCAAATTGGAATTAAAGGCGCCATTTCTACCAAAGGTCTTGACAGACTGGCGACCTGTCTAGGGTGTACCCCGCACCAGCACCTCCCAACCCCACTAAGGGACAGGGTGTACAGAAAATGGAAGGATAGATGGATTTCTACCAAAGGTTGATAATGCGTTTTTGAACCAGATGCTTCAAAGCGCCCTGTCCATAATTCTTCACCACACTGTCAGCTCCCTCTGTCAGTCAATCTATATAAATTCATTTTTGACCATTATTGCAAGTTTGACAAAATAAAACATATCAAACTTTGCACTTGTGTGGCCTACTGAATTGTTTTGATTTTCTAGTGCGTATGCAGACACTAAATATGCCAAGGGCTGAAGCCCTTGAAAGACATCTCCCTTTGCTTAATAAAAGACTCCAGTCATTTTGTTTGGTGATATGCTCACATCTTATGAACAAATGCATTATGTTAATTTTAAATGCATTATTTTTGCAAACACATTTATAAAGCAATAAAGTAAAAGATTAAATAGCCTTTTTTTTAAGTAGCGTACTTAAGATATGTTTCTGTTGAATATTTACGAATCTCAGATTTCCGACATGTGTCCCCCCCAATTGTAAACATATTCCTACGCCCTTGACATCAAATGTGAGATTTGGCATTGAATATTTAAACACTATCAATGCTTTAAGTATCAGTGTTTCAAAAATATCAGAGTTTGCATTTTTATTGTTACAGTTTTAAGTGTTACGTTCTTCAGTGTTTAACTTTACAATGAGAAATCTCACATTCAATGTCGATCCAAGCTGTCCTGGTTTGGCTCCACATTGTGGAGAAGTTATCGAAAAAGTTTCTCACAACAAAACTGACCTTCTCCAATTTTAAAATAACACAGAAAGCCCTGAATCCACTGAATGTAAGAAGGAGGTGATGATTATTTCCCTTTAATTAATATAACTCTGGGTGCCAGAAGAGTGGTCGAGTGGAAACAATCCCGAACAGACCAATCACTGGGTCTAAATCAATCTTTTTACCCACAAAAATTAGTCCAACGATTTAAAGGTTGTGGACAGAGATAATTCATGTTGTCAACTGGCAGAGGCGGAGCTGGGGGATGGCCACGGGTGTCCATGGCCCCTCCAAGCCTATTAATGCAACCCATTACCAAGTGATCTGTCGCCCCGTGGCCCTAATTCATCGCCACTGGAACAAGCAGTTCACCTCTGAACCACAGGGTGGCAGCAGTGATACTCTGAAGGGGAATGTCCAAATTAACCGGACACTTTACCGGGCGTTTTGATCGCTAGAATATTAACCATAAACTGATAACATTTAATGACATCAAAAGACTTAGATTAAAGATAACAAATATAGAATTCATTCTCTTGTTAGAAACACTTTCATCCAAGAGGTATAAAATTTGACCCTCTTTGCACGTCATCTTGGAGTCTGATAAGTATGGTGTAAATTTTGCCCATTATTATTGCCAGCAAAAAAGTTTTTCATTTTTTTTATTTAATAAAAAACATAAATCTAATCCAAAATTGAAACGCTGAAAATGTGTTAATCAAAAAAAAAAAAGTTCATAGAGTGAATTTATTATTTTCTCATAATATTTTTTCTATATTTATAATAAGTAAAAATGTTACTTAGTGCTGCTTTAAAAACTAAACCAGAGAAGGCATAGAGGAAGAGCAGGCTAAACAGATAACAAAGTTTGATAATCTTCTCCTTTTAAAGTCTGCCTTTTATGTAACATAATGGATCTGGAAATATTCGGCCCAGTTAGAAATATTTAAAAAAGCTTAGATAAGGATCCAAATTTTGTAGAATGCAAAGACACACAGACTGCTGTTTTTGTACTACGAGCACTAATACTTAATATGTGTGGCCTTGAGTGAGGATCAGCTCTGTAATTTATGTCTTTGTTGGTCAGTCCCTGTTTTAGTGATGCTATGGTGTGAATTTTGTTCCATTATTGTTGCAAGAGAAATAACATGTTTTTTAAATGGAGATTGAAAAGAAACTTGAAACAGAACTGAAACTTTGAAAAAAATTCTTAATCGAAAAAGGTTTTGAGAGTAACTTTGAGTGTAGCTGTTTTTTTTTTATTAATTTTTCATTTTTTTCATAATCTATCTCTTAACTTTTTCCTATTACATTTTTTTCCCATTATTTTCACTTTTTTTTTCTTTCTGCATTTTCATTTTTTTTATTTTCTAATTTGCATATAAAGTTTTGTGAATTGCATTATTTTCTAACTGCATTTTTCAGATCGCATTCAATTCACTTCTGGGGGCGGGCTTTCCTCTGGAGTGAGGAGGGAAGAAGCATTTCTATTGGTCTGCTGGACATTAGCAACAGCATTTTTATTGGTCCAGAGCAAGCTTTTGTGTTTAGATTGAAGTAATGTGATCGGTAAAACCGTTTTACAAAAATAACATTTGAAAATATAAAATCTGTTAAAAATATAAACAAACTACAATTTGAAAACTGAAATTTTAAAGGAGTAAAATTGAAAAAAGGAATAGACAAAAATAAAATTTGAGAAAACAGCAAAGTTACCTTTAAAACCTTTTTTTTATATAGAGTATTTTTCAAAGTTTTATTCTAGATCACATTTTCTTCAAGTTTCCATTTGAAAATTCAGTTTTTTTCTTGCAACAATAATGAAAAAAAAATCCCTCTATAACGACACTGGTTCAGTATGAATAATTCATGATCCCTCACAGTAAGAAGACTGGAAATTATATTGTTTTTACTAATAATCATATTAAAATCAGCTGAAAATCATTATTGGCAGTTCAAAGCTTTACAAAAAGCAGATTAGAAATTTGAAGTTTCCAATCTGTGCATCTCTGATTTCAGACGTGCAAAAGTATCTTCCTCTTCAATAAGTAAATAAAAATGTAGATATAAAATTCTGCTTTGACAGAACTTTGTCCCCTGCTGTCACAGCGCCGAGGACAAAGGTATGGTAATACGACAGTAAGCACAAACTGCTAAACTTCCTCATTACCTGTGAACTGATCCCAGCGCTGCGTACGCATCAGCCTCCATCTTTTGATCGGCAGCTTTCTGAGCCAAACTTAGCTGCTGCTGGTAGAACTTCACAGCTCCTGGGAGATCCCCCCGACACACAAACACATCCCCGAGGTTCCCGTAGGCTCTGAAAACCGCCTGCTGACAAATATAAACATAACACTGTGGATTATAATCAACTACTCCCTGAAAAACAACAACTCCTCACCGAGGGAGAAAACAGAGCTCTTGCAGGTGACCTGTGTGTTATCCAGAGCTTGTGCTAGAGAGAGCAGGTATCTCTGACACTCTTCCGCTCTGCTGTACTCTCCTAGAGCTTTGTGGGCCAGGCCGAGGTTGCAGTAGGCTTTTGCTTGTGCTAATTTGTCCTGGAGGTCTTTAGCCAAGGCCAGGTCCTGCTCGTAATACCTGAGAAAAGAGAAAAGGAAGGAATCATGGGGATTTTCAGTTAAATAATAAAGAAATACTAATGTGGTAAGGATGTAAAAAGATTAAAAACAGCATTTTGTTTTGTAAAAATATTCTTCCCGCTTTAACTTATCAACACTTTCTCACGATAATGACAATTATGCTGTGTTTTGCTGATGTTTTATACGAAAGCAAAATACAAAGTAGTGTATGATTGTAAAACGGAAGGAAAACTATACAGGGTTTTTAAAAAAATAGAAATTCTCTAAATTTTAGGACAATATCGTCTGATAACATTTATTTACATATTTAAGCCAGAATGATTTGACATTTAAATATAATTTCCCTATGACTTTACCACTTCACCATGTTCCTCCTTTGTGTACGCTGTGTGAAAAACATTACCTCCATCAGATTTTGACCTGGTTAAAGGGTTCTACCACATCTCTAATTGTTTTTTTTTTGTGCGTTTCATTTGTATGCATCAGTCTGAGCTGTTTCATGATCTAAAATCGTTATTAAGTACATTAAAGTCAGTTGATTACAGAACATAAAAAAGTACACCCATAGTTTTGCAGAGCCTGGCATCTTTCACCTGACAGCGTCTTTGTACTGTCCCAGACAGTAGTGAGCGTAGGCCAGGTTGTGGCAGACTTTTCCTTCCCCTTCCAGGTCCTGCAGCCCAGGAGACAAAGCCAGATACTGCTGGAAGTATGGTAGCGCCTGAGCGTACTCTCCCCTCCAACTATGGAAGTTACCGAGGTTTGCTGCAGAGTTAAATAAAAATACTTGATTTAACTGGTTATTATTTCATTTATTTGAGTAAAAGACTAATATTTCCTCTTATCTGGCTTGCCTAGAGCCCTTGCTTCAGTTTGAGTGTCTCTGAGTTCCCGTGCAATGGTCAGGTGGTGACGGTAGTGCTGGAGAGCTCGGTCATGAGCCCCCAACGCCTGATAAGCCACAGCCAGATTACCGTGAGTAGATGCCTGTGACTGACGATCGTTCACCTGCAGCACCAAGAGAAAAGATTCATCCAAGAGGAATGCGACCTGACATCTCTGCCTTTAATAGAAAGACTACAGAAATAACCTCCAGAGAGATCTGCAGTTCCTGTCGGTGGTACCGCACTGCCTGGTCGTAGATGCCCAGAGCATGGTAGGCGTTGCCCATGTTACCGTAGGCCCTCCCCTGAGCTGCGTAGTCGCCCAGTTCCTGGGCTAAAGACAGGTGGGCTTTATGGAGCTTCAGCGCCGTTTCATACTCCCCCTTCATGTGATGAATGATGCCTGATGCAGAAAGTGAAAGAAATCAGGAGAAATTAAGCAAATTAAAATTGGACACAAGAAATGAAGTTAATAAAACACATAAAATACAGATATGTGTATCATGAAATAATAAATTCATTTCAATTCAGTTTAATTCTATAGCTCAAATTCACAACATGTCATCTCAAGGCACTTTACAGTCCACCAGATCATCCAGTCAAATTGATACAAAGTTTTCTATCTAAGGAAAACCAGTTGATTGCATCGACTCCTTGACTCAAAGGCAATCCCTCACACTAAGCATGCTTGTAGCGACAGTGGAGAGGAAAAACTCCCTTTTAACAGGAAGAAACCTCCAGCAGAACCAGGCTCAGTGTGAGCGGCCATCTGCAGAGGCCGACTGGGGTTCAAGGAGACAGAAGCAGAGATACAAAAAGCAGCTGTAAAAGGCGGCCCCGTCCAGGAAACACACAGCCAGGCAGACGAGCTCACATACTTTAGGTCAGAGGTAACCAATTAAAAGTCAGTGTTGTCCGAATAAAGAAAATCAACCACCAGTAAAGGTCTGAAGACATTTTTAATTATAATCTGTTACTTTAAACAGAATTTAAGGCTGAAATAAAATTAGGTGTTTATGCATCAATGTTATACATTGAATTTTGAAACAAAAATATATGAAAGAAAAATAGAACATTTTTCCATTTTAAAATCTAAAGTGCTTTTTGAAGTAAATAACAACAATCGTTCAGTTTGGTATATAGACAATTTCCTGATTCACATATTTTATAAAACACCTGAACTGACTCTTATGGCTTAATGAGAGCAGTGGGCTTTATGCTGCTTTAAAAGAGGCTTTAAACCTGGCTTTGAATGGAGACAAAACATTCTCAAGCACATATCAAGGTGCTCATTTTGAGCCTGCGGTCCGCTAATCCTTGACCTCTGCTTTAGGTTTCAGTGATTGTTTTCTATTTGAAGATGAATCAAAAAGACATGACTCAGTCCACTGTTATTCACCAACGCTAAATCTGAATATCTCTTATGGAATCAGAAAGGCCATGAAGAACAGCATCCCTCCCTGCTACTGAACTTAGTTTGAACTAGAAACTCACTGTGAGGAAAGCTGATTTCGGACCGCTCTCCTTAAGCTTAAAACACTATGGCCCATTAAACAATATGTTTACCCACCATTAAATTAATTTATACATAATATATCCCTGTGAATTTATGGGTTGCCATTATTTTCAGACCTGTGAAATGAAAATAAACCTAGAGCAGTAAATAATTCATAAGCTTTGGTGTGAAACCCCAACAAATCTAATAATATCCGTCACTGAGGCTCTTCAGTAGCGCAGTAGCAGAGATCAGAGTCTCTGTCCGGGGACAGGGAACTGTTATGACTACCACGTATATCCTGTGATGAAGTTTTTTTTCTCTGTAAGCAACCCAGTTTTTACAGACAAAGCAGGAAATGTTTGTTTTCTAAAAAAAGGAGCTTAGGACACAAGAGATAAATATCCTCACCTCAGAAACAAAACTAGTCTAAACAAACTGGAATGAACTTTCTGTCTTCTTTGTAATCTCAATTCTAAGGTGTGACAGTCACATTTCTACTGTAGTTGATTCACGTTTTTGTTTTCCTCTTCTTAAAATTCACCTTTTTTCTTCATTCATTCATTGCTAACTTTTATCCTTTGATTACTTTTAGTTAAGCGCAGTCAAAACTCACTAATACTGTATATATATTGTTTATTGTTTATTCTTAATGCACCTTTTTCCTCCTTGTTTGCACCTTCTTTGACTTCTATGCCAATATGTGACAGGTGAATTTCTCCGCTGTGAGATCAATAAAGCTCATCTAATCTAATCTAATCTAATCTAATCTAATCTAATCTAATCTAATCTA